TCCACCCACCCCCACCCCCCAAACCTAACCCCCGCTCCAGAATCCAAGAAACCCTCCCCTCCGAAGTCCTCGCCAAGATGCACGCCCCGCCCAAATCCTCAGTCCCCATCCTCGAGAAACCGGAGCAGCTCCTCGACTACGACGCGGCGCTCTTCGGCATCCCCACGCGCTACGGCAACTTCCCCGCGCAGTTTAAGGCCTTCTGGGACCGCACCGGCGGCATCTGGGCGACCGGCGGGTTCTACGGCAAGTACGCGGGCCTGTTCGTCTCGACGGGCACGCTGGGCGGCGGCCAGGAGTCGACCGCCATCGCCGCCATGAGCACCCTCGCCCACCACGGGTTCCTGTACGTGCCGCTCGGCTACAAGACCGCCTTCCCGCTGCTGGCGAATCTGGAGGAGATCCACGGCGGGTCTGCGTGGGGGGCGGGGACTTTTGCGGTATGCCTTTGTCTTTTCCCTTGGTTGGTTGGGGTGGGTGTGGTAAGGGGTTTGTGATGGTGGTTGCTGACTCTTGTTGATGGGATTTAGGGCGCCGATGGGTCCCGTCAGCCGACGGCGTTGGAGCTCCAGATTGCCGAGACACAGGGGAAGTCGTTCTACGAGCATCTCTCCCGTGTGAATTTCGCGTGACTACATGACAGTTCGGCTAAGGCGGAGGCCCCGACGGCTTCTGCGGGGCAGCAGGGCGATACGGCGAAGGCGACGCAGCCGGAGGGGATTGTGCAGCAGGGGGGTAGTGGTGGTGGTGGTGGTGGGAGTGCTCAGGCAGCTCAGCCAGCAAAGAAAGAGGGTCCATGCGGGCTACCCTCGAAGTGTACTATGATTTGATCGCCTGATTTATGGTCTGGTCATAGCTAATATGGAGATGGTCTGTGACTTGCGTGAGTTGCTTGATATAGTTGATATATCTATAGTTTATACTTGGTAATCATCATTCGAGGCTTGAAACAACACGACCCCGAGAAGATGTCTGCTATAGGGGTGAATCGAAGGAAAGTGGACTACAACTGTACTCATGACATGACCACTCCACCCTGGCCACCTAGATTTCAACTGAGTTCAATTGACTTTAGATTGGCGAAGATTCGATTAATCGGGTGAAGGAAACGATTCAAAACTCCCAAGGTTCAACTGAGTTTGATGCACGATCTTGATGCTTACAGACTGACAGACTTCATTCTCCAAGCCACGGTCTTCATCTCTGGGCTTTTATAACCAAAGGTGTTAGCAAGCTAACACTTATACGCCCAATGCCATTAGTTGTGTGTCATGTTCCGACCTTCAACAATGGTGAGCCTTGCAAGAGCCCATCCTCTCTCTCTCTCTCTCTTCTAGGAACCCAGTGCCTGGCACCTCCAGTTCTCCGGACGGTCGGGATCCCCGCGTCCCTGATACCGGGCCAGCTTGGGATGGGCACAAATGGGCCGTTGGCGCGTGATGGCATCCATTGTGGTAAAATGCGTAGGCGGTCCCGATGATCGCGTCCGGCGCCGTGCCATTCTCGACCCATTCCATCAGCGCCAGCAGCACGTCGTGCTTCGCATCGTGGAAGTTCGGCACTGAGTACTTCCCGTTAATTGTCATGCTGATCCCGGCGATGTAGTACGGAGCGTTCACGTAATCGGCGGTGTCAAGGCAATGCCTGTTTAACGACGAGCAAGTTAGTTACCGGCCTAGGGAAAAGGATCCTTGACAAAGCTTAGCCATAGGGGAGAATCCCACTGACCCCATCCCAAAAATAGGAAAGAAGCGGTAGCAGTCATCCACGTGTACACCCTGAGGGCTGAGAGTGCGGTCGATCTGCTCGTAGAGGTAGTAACTGGCCCCCGTGGCGATGCCACCGTCGCTCATGCCATGATAATGGAGCAGCTTGCCTCCCCCGTGGTAGAAGGCACTCAGGTTGTAGGCCGACGCATCGGCCTGCCCGGGATCGAGCCGCTCGGAGAGTTGGATCACATCCTCGTTGAACGACTGCCACGCCCACTCGGGCCCCAACCCCAGCATGTATTGGATGTATCCGAGTCCGATGATGTTCGGCGCCCCGCCGTCGATGTTCAGAGTCCAGAAGTGCTCCGAGCCGCGGAGCCAGGCCGGGAAGACTAGGGTCGAGTTTGTGGCCCGGAAATCTCGACTGAGGGTGTCGAACGTCTGCAGCTGCGCGGCCGTCAGACATTCCGCATCGGTGGGATCGGTCACGGCTGAGGAGCATAGAAGCGTTTCGGGGTTGAAGTTGCATCCAAGAGGATCGGAGATGATCGTCTAAGTATGTTTTTCAGTGACCCGAACTCGTACCTCGACTTTTGTACTGTTAGGTGTCAGAAAAAGTCAAGACTCACATCAACGAGACCGTCCTGGCCATCACACTGCCGCAGCACCTCCCTGCCGATGACATCAAATTTGCTCGTGGGAATCATGGTGATGTTCGAAATGTAGTTCACATATCCCACCCAGAACTACCATATTTGCTGATGGGACTAATTTTGGAGGCGCCGTCAGAGGAAGAGAGGAGCGATGAGACGGGGCGGGGAGAAAGCCAATGTTCATCAGGTTAAATAGCACTCACCGTCCACCAAGCAGGTGCGCCTGCGATAATTCCGTCGAAATCCCCCGGGAATGCTTCCGCCTCTTTGAACCCTTGGCGACCACCAGTACTACAGCCTTGATAGTAGTGGAACGAGGGCCTAGTCCCGTAGAAGGCCTCGGTGATCTGCTTGCCGTATATCACCGTCTCGTGCAAGGCCCGCCACCCCCAATTGACCTGCGATTCGGGGTTTTGGTACGCCCAACTTGCATCGGTTGCAGAACTGTTGTGACCAGTGTCCGTGGAGAAGACGGCGTGGCCATATTTCACCCCGGTGCCCTATCTCTCTCGGGAGGTTATTTGTGAGGGATGATACGGGCTGGAGTCCTGTGCTGGGTGATTTCCGTACCATGTCCACCCAATTCACTCCTCCCGCCAAGCCTCCATTTCCAACAGTCCTGCGTGTGAAGAAGTACAATGTCAGATTGTACTGTAGAGTACCTATATGGTGTTGAAAGGGGCGGGGGAGGGAGGGGGAACATGAGTTCAGGGTTGGCCCACTCACAGCGTACGACCATTCCATTGGGAGGGAAGGAAAAGACCGAAGCCAAAGCTAGCGTTGGCTGTGTCTCCCAACACGGTGGCACCAATTGCGCAGAGACTGGGGAGATTGATCGGGTCGGTTGGCCAGCCCGTATCCCCTCGGGGCACTGTGAAGGTGCCGTTCTCGGGAATCGCGGTCACAAAAGAGAGGCTGACATTTGGTGGTAGGAGGGAGTTCACAGCATCCCAGTCACAGTCCAGAGTAGCATGGGCGGTTCCACTACTCAGAAGTAGGGGGAGAAGTGCTCGAAGATACCTGTGCATTGTGAATATCCTTGGTTATCTTTCTTTGGTCCACGAAGCAAAGCAATACATGGGCTGGGGAGGAGGGGGAGACTACTTATGATCCGGTTTTGTGAGCCCCAACGGATTCTGTCCGAGCCAGGTGGTTAAATCATTACGCGGTCCTCATATCAAATTCACCTCATGGTGCAGAAGAAGCCCTGAGATATGCGGGGATAATATGTTTCGTCCCGTTCGTCCCGTTCGTCCCGCCAAAGCTCGGCTTGATTAGGCCGCCAGAGCACGAAAACCCCACGCAACCCCGCAATTTGCCCCCGTGCTTTTGCCCCAGAACAAGAATTTCGTTACTGTTGAGGTCTCGAGACTGGTTTAGCAGCGCCAGACTAGCTGCGAAGCTGTGCATGCTTCCCCTCAGATGGCTACATGGGAATGGCACGGTCCTTGTTTTGTTTCCGTGATGGAGATACATACATGAGATACATGAGAGACGGACATCATTTCGAACAGTCAACCCAGGTAGCCCTGGATGGGGCAAGTTAGTTATATTGATAGAGTGGGAAGTGAGGGTCGGTTGGTATGATTTCATACGAGGCAATCAATTTGCCCTTGGTTGTGGTGTGTATACCTGCTTCCTGGTACACTGCACAAAAGGGGATTCTTTGCGGAAAGTTGTATCCTTTTCAACATACGGTATCGGACCCGCATACTATGGATAAGTTCTATGAAGACTAGGTAAAGTCCTGGAACTGCCTTCTATGATCTTCAACTAACATTTCATACCGTTTCCGCTACCGTTTCCGCTTAAGGCTTCGAGCCTACGAACGATAGTCCAGAAATAATTAGTTCATTCGTCTGAGAATATTATCTGTTGTAAATAACTCCAAAAGAAAGGAGAACAGGATGGCTATCATTACTTCTAATCATCCTGTTCGAAGTGAAGCTTGACATGTCCAATCAATCGTATTGTCATATACGTTCTCAGTTGCAGTCCCTGGAAAGTGAAGCTCGATTCCTCTCTCGCATCCACCAATCTCATGCTACCTGGAAAAATAGCCATCTTGCGATTGAGCATCCATATCGAAGGCAACCGGAGTCTTAGGAAGTACACGATTGGCGGTCCATTTCGACAGGGTGTATCGAAGAGCATGATACTGGACAGAGTGCGAAGTTGTCAGCGTTAATGAATTATTTGGATGGTTGTTCGCGAACGCTTGGAGATAGATGGAGATGTAACTTAGACGACTGTGTTTCAGTATGGTGCGTATGATAGTCGTCTAGGCAAGCTCTATTAGACGATACCTCATAAGTGTTCTGCCTTCTTTTCCTTTCAGTCTGGATCCATACTAAAGGAAAGTAGCTCTTGGGTTTACTCTTGACGATATCCTGGAGAGAAACACCACAGCGCATTTAAGTCGACTTCCATAGGCCATCCATCGTCTTCTGTGCTTCAGTGTCCCACCCTGCAGGTCCAACTCATGGCCCATATCAGCTGAAAGACTTTTCTCTGACACACCGTGGAAGAAATTGCAGCCAACGGGTGGCGGATATCAAAACCCAACATCATTCACTGCAAGATTCGCTTAACGTGCCAAATCCGGCCGGCAATCTCTTCATCATTCATTCACTGATTCCCTAGATCCTCACGGACTGGGCTATAAATATGGCCTCTATCACCACCGATCCCCCTCCTTCTTTCTTCCTCACCACCCTCTCTCTCTTTCATTCTCATCCTCCTCTTCTCGTCTCTCCTTCATCATCCCCATCCATCATCGATCCTCTCTTTCGATCCTTTTCATCTGATACACTCAGTCTTTCCTTCAAGATGCTCTCCTTCAAATTCATACTCCTACTCTTCTTTGGTCTGTTTATGCAGACTGTCCTGGCCACCTCTTATGGTCTTGTTTCCGATGTTGTTACTTCTCGTGACGACGATACCGCGTCCCAGGCCCCTGGAAATGGATTTGTCACTGCTGTTTCTGACTTGAGTGATGATACCTCTGACAACGGTCTCGGTGAGATGACTACTGGTACTTCTACTGTCGACACACTCCCGAACCGCAAGCCTGTATGTCTCGTGCCTTTGAGAACAGTCAGGTAACAAGCTAACATAAACCAGAAGGGCTGCATTGGCAGCGTATGCTCCCCTTCGAACATGTGTCTCTGCAGGAACAAGAGCGGCGTCCGGGTGTATTGCTACTGTGAGGAACCCGGCAAGAAGTGCAGGTGCGGGCGTGACGCGCTGGCTTCGAGGGAGGTGATCGAGGCTGATGCAGAGGCTACTGTCGTTGATGAGGGTACAATTACTGATGTCGGTGTTGATGGTGCTGATATCTCTGATGCTGACTCCTCTAATGCTGGCTCCTCTAATGCTGGCTCCTCTGATGCTGGCTCCTCTGATGCGGCCGTCTCTGACAATGTCCCCTCTTACGACGCTTCTGAAGACATCGACTCATCCGACGAAGACACCTCACCCATCAGCATCCTCTCGAACAACGGCGTAAGCCCCCTCCCCCCTTCTATATCCCCATAACGAAGACACAAGCTAACATAGCCCCCAGAAACAGCAATGCCACGGCAAGTGCACCAAGTGCCTCGGCAACTGCAAGGACAAGTACCAGTGCCTGTGCAAGGGACGCGATGTCGTCGCCCGTTGTGGATGCGAGAGACTCGGGGAGAAGTGCCAGTGCAAGGGGCCGTGGCGTGCGGCTCGGGACGTTACCTCAGTCAACAGCACTACAACCGATGAAGTGGAGAGCGCTACACCTGCCGCGGATGAAGCTGCAGACGATGTCGACGATGCAGCAGCCCCAGTCCCCGGTGTTTCTCTCATCAGCGACAGCGAGCTCATGGAGTCCAAACCTACAGTCAGTTTCTACCTTGGACCATGAGAATGTGCTACTAACGCGGAGTGAGTGCAGACCTGCCACGGCGTGATGTGCTCCAAGGACGGCAAATGCCACTGCAAGCATGGGCCCTACAACATCGTCTGCCCCTGCCACCGACTCGGTGCCCCCTGCTACTGCAAGAACTGGCGCCGCGATGATGATGTTCCTGGCAGTGTCGACGCTCCTGTGGCAGAGACAGTCGATACCACCCCTGCGACTCCGGTGGCTGATGACAACACCCCCACCCCCACCCCCGAAGACGAAGATGCAGAAGCGTCCTCACAACCTGGTTTCTCGCACGCCGTGAACGATGAATTCTCCACCCTCCAGCGAGTACGTCCTCCCTTTCCTCCACTTCTATTCTCCCAAGACAGTAAAACCACCACCACCACCACCACCACCACCACCACACAGTCAACTAACCCACCCCCCCCAAACAGACCTGCTACGGCACCTGCAGCCGCAAGCACAAATGCAACTGCCGCGGCAAGACCTGTCGCTGCCAGATCCCTGGCGAGAGCTGCAAATGCGTCTTCCCCTTCCTGCCCCCGCGGGAGCTTGAATCCATCCCCACATTCCCCGGTGACGAGGCGAAGGCCGAGGCGGAGGCGGAGGTAGATGATACGGGCATCGAAGACACCGCTACCTCACCCACTGAGGACTCCACCACCGAACTCAACCCCCAGGACGACAGCCCCCTCATCCCCGAGGAAGACCCCACCAACACCGAAACCGCAACCTCCCCAGTGGGCATCGAAACCGAAAACTCTCCGCTCGTCGCGCGTGGCGAGGTAAGCAGCAGCCCCCGCCCCCAGCCCTACCCTCCAATCCACACACCACCTAACCCCCTCCTTATATCCACATACACCGACTAACACATGCAATACAAGCCATGCTGGGGCGTCTGCGACAAATACCGGCACTGCTACTGCGGCCACATCCGGACCAACTGCAACTGCTCCAAGCGCGGCCACCGGTGCTACTGCGGCTCGGGACCGAACGATCTGCCGCCGGGGATGGGGTCGGGGGTGACGTACTGATGCATCCACAAAGACAAAGACACTTGGACTTGGACTTGGTCACATTTTCACCACTTGGATTCTAGTAAGTCAAAGGAGTCATGGTTGGGGTCGAGGCGCGGAGGGTTTAACACTGGGGGAGGGGAGTTTGAGGATGACAGGATGCTAACATTCCTTTCTGGGCAATAGGGCCATCCGTATTTTCCCCCGATCGTCGGCGTCAGCGTCAGTGTCAGCGTCACCTTGGAATTCATCATGGGTTTGCGTTGGACTCGATAAGATACGGTACAATATTCTGGCGGATTGGGACAGTGTGGACTTGGTGTCTGTCGGGACAAAGACAGATCTGGGTGTTGTTGATGAGATATTGAACTGTGCTGTGCTGTACTGTACCTAGACATGCAGTGGGTGATGTTTGCTAGTCTTGGCTTGGACCTGTGTTCTTCGTCAAATGATGATATGGTATGGGATTACTTGAAATGAGAATTTATGATGCTCTGCATCGCATAACACAGTGCAAGCTTTGTAATAGACGGCGTCGTGTGTGTGTGGAGGCAGACCTTGATTCTTCTGCAGTTCTGCTTGCTTCGCTGGGGCATGAGGGGATCACATAACCCGGTTATGTTCGTCTGCTTCTAGCTGGGTAGTCGTTAAGGATGGTCATCATCTAGGTGATTAGAAACTGCAGCGGAAGCTGGTCTGCTCGTGTCAGAGGTAGATGATAGTAAATTGCCATGACTACTTAAATAGTCATGATGATCGATTGTAGCGCCCAAACTCCCCCCCTTCCCATACCATACAGTACACGAGCGATAAGAGAACCGAAACCAAGAAAAAGAGACCAGGGATATTTTTGACAAACCCGCAAACATTGACACCAAAAAAAAAAGGAAACCCGGAATTCGAGACTCTGGATCCGCCTGCACGCAACAGACAACAACCTCTGGTCAAAAGGGCCGGAAAGAGCGGATCAAGATTCGAAGGATGCATCACGACGGAAAAGCCTCCGAATCATCCTTGACCTCCACCTCCGCCTCAACCTCCACCTCCACCCCCTCCGTCGACTCCAGCGGCTCCGGCTGCGCCTCCCCCTCCGCCGCCGGCGGATCCAGCTCCATCCCCGCCAGCAGCGCCCCTTCCTGGCCGGCTATCGTGCGGAACAGCCCCAGCTCCGCCTCGACCAGATCATCGAAGATCGCCTCCTTCTCCAACCAGGCCTCCTTGCGCTTGCCCAGGATCGTCTCCCCGGCCGCCCGCAGCTGCTCGCCTTCCTTGCGCGCCCAGTGGATCTGCCGCAGCAGCAGCCGGTACAGCTGGGGCCCCTCGAGCAGCAGCTCGTGCACGTCGAACCCCTTCTCCGAGCCTACGGGCGGCACGGACAGATCCTCCTCCGTCTCCTCGGTCGCGCTCTCGCCGTAGTCGCCGAACGGCTCCTCCCCGCCCTTGGGCTGCGAGAGCTTCAGCCTGATGCGCTGCACCTTGCCCGCCGGCGTCCCCGTCGGGGTCGGCGCGGCCGAGGAGGAGGCGGCGGCCGCGACCGCCGCCGCCGCCGCGAGGGTGGTGTGGTGTTTGGGGACGGGGTCCGACGGGCGGAGGGCCTCGGTTTCGTGGACGGTGCGCATGTGTTTGGCCAGGGCGTCGGAGCGGGTGAAACTGCGGTCGCATTCTTTTTTCCATTGGGTCAATTAGTACCAAATGCCATTCTCGGAAGGGGGAACCTCTCTAGAAAGGTCTCTGCGGCGGGGCAAAAAAAAAAAAAAAAAGGACCAAAGGACGAACCAGGCAAGGCGCAGTAGAACGGCTTCTCGCGGGTGTGGCTCCGCATGTGGGCGCGCAACGCATAGCCGCTGGCGTGCGTCTGCCCCTTCCGACTGCAGTCGGCCCACTCGCACGAGTACTTCTTCTGCCGGCTGCCGACGTGCTCGTCGTGGATGTGCTTGACCAGCCCGTCCATGTTGCCCAAATCGCCGGCGTCGCACCCGTCCCAGCGGCACACGGTCACCTGGTCGTTGGCCTGACCGCTGTAGTCGTCGTCGATGCTGCCGCCGATCAGCGCGTACGTGCCGGGCGAGTTGGGGATCTCGCCCGAGGTGTCGGAGGAGATGGAGGTCGAGGGCGAGGGCGGCGGGAGGTCGTCTGGGAAGGTGGTCGAGACCGGGGTGGCACGGTCCCAGGAGGTGACGCCGCCGGTGCGACGGCGTTTCGAGGGGGGCATGTTGGAGTTGGTGACGGAGCCGGAGGGGGAGAAGGGTTGCTTGAGGTCGTCGCGGTCCGACATGTCCTCGTCGGAGGCGATGGAGGAGAGGGGAGAGCCCGGTGATTCTGTCATTGTGACAGATTGGAGGGTGGAGGAGTGAAGGTCAGGTGATTTTTTTGAGTGAGAAATTTGGCGATAGGGATAGGAGTGAATGCAGGTGGTGGTGATGGAATAGATTATGGTTGTTGTTTGGGAGACGGAGAGAGAGCAAGAGGGCGCGGACGGAGGCCGGAGATTATACGATCCATGATCGCATCTCGAGTATACCGATTCGGTAGAGACACGTGACCGGTCAGCGGCGGAGGAACAAAACCTGGCCACTGCCTTCATTTCTCCTCCTTCACTCTTCTTTCCTCCGTCTTTCTCAGTCAACTGTGCAGGCGCAGTGCAATTTCAAGAGATTTGGATAATAATAATGTTTTACGTCCAATCCACCTCGATTCCCAACTAACAAGAAGTGTAAGTCTGGCTGTTCATCCTCCCTGCCACCACACCACCACACCATCACCACACACAACAACAACACAACAACCCCGATATGATGAGCAAAAATGAAGAATTCTGCAATTCGGACAGTCTCCTAATTCACTGTGAGATTGGATGTTGACTCTTCTACACTTGATCTGATCTATCGATCCCTTGATTCTCGCTATTCAAGCCCCCAAGCTCTGTCAACACGAAGCTGACAAGCCGCTTATCCAGGCATTAACCAACAACTATCATACATATCACATCCAAGCCATAATACCATCATTCATGCAATCTCAAACTTCACCCCAATCCATGTGTAACCATCGTAATCAGCATCGCCCCTGGTATCCCCCGCCAGATTTCGCCATCCCCGCCAGATTCTCAGGAGGACCTAGCTGACGTGCTCTGGGTAGCGTGTGAAGTACCCGCGGGAGGAAGGTAGAGCAGGCGATTCTCCGAGGTGTCGTAGAGATACGCTCCTCTTCCAGTATCACTCTACACAAGACACATAATCTAGTAGCTGTGGCTCGAGCCAGCTCACTTCTGGTAATATAGTAAATAATCCCGAACAAGCAATGTCAAAACAATCATCAATGGTAGAGCAGATGGCCCCCAAGATCCCATCATCAATTCGTCATCAGTAGGGCCGCACGCATCACAAAGCCACGCATCAAAACAAAAACCCAACCCACGGAACCACAGCACCCAGAAGTAAAATACATCAGCCTAAGACGGACACGTCTCGCGAATTCATCAAGTCATAAGCTCATCATCATATCATCGCAACACACACATCCTACACACAGCACCATCCAACGGGCGCTGAGCCCCTTTATATCAAGTCTTTCTCCTTGCACAGGCAATCAAGCATACTGCGCCATGGGCACCCGCCTCGACCGTCCCGCCGAACGAGACCGAAGGCTCGGCGGGGTGGACCCATACTCGGACGGATGGTGCTCCTCGATCTCATCCGGGTACATGGTCCGCGGTTGGTGATGGTCATATCCCGCGTGGCTCTGCGCGCGCTGATGGCGCAGTTCGCGCTTGTGTTCGCACTCCTCACGCAACTTCTGGCGCTCCTTCCGGAGCTCAGCCGCATGTTTCCATTCATCCGCGGCGCCTTTGATACCCCAGGCGGCGATGCCCACGCTGGCCACATCGCCGAGATTGGCCTTGAGGCGCCGGCGGCGCGCTTCCTCCGGGGTGATCTCGCCCTCGCGGAGCTGCTCGGCTCGTTTCTTGTGTTTTTCCATGTTTTCATAGAGCTCATGGGCGGCGTGGATTGTGGCCACGGTCGCCAGGCCGGTCTTGACCAGCGTCTTGCGCGTTAGTTTCTTCTGGCGCTTCTCCTCATCGGTACTGCTTCCTAAGTCAGAGTCACAATCCTCGGTGCTGTTGGAGTTGGAACGGGGCTCATCCGGGGCACGGGTACGGCTATAGCCAGCTTCGTCGGCGTGAACAATTGGTCGACTCACATCTCTAGAATGTCGGGAGCGCCGCGGGCTTCGGTGACGGCGATACTCATAGTCGCTATAGTCGTCGGGGTAATCATCCCGACGGGACGAGCGGCGGCCATCTCGGTCCCGGCTGTCCCGGCTGTCCCGGCGGTGGTCCTTCTCGCTCAGACCCAGCGCCTCCATCCCCTTGTGGATGTAGTCCGAGACGCTCTTGCTCCGCGGTCTCGGACGACGGTCCTCGTAGCTGTCCTGCGAGAGAGATCGGCCCCGACTCCGGTCCCGGGGACGGGACCTGGAGCGGAACCGATCGTATGCTTCCTTGCCGATCGCAGCCAAGGCGCCTGTGGCAGCGAGATTCTTCACGCCACTGTTGCTCTGGGAGCGTCCATGGTGCCGGCCGCGGGAACGGGAGCGGGAACGGGACCCGTTCAGGAAGTGGTTGGCGGCGAGCCCGGCCAGGGTCGATTCCACGACATGACGCTTCGAGTGCTTCTTGGGATCGCGGTCCACCAGTCCATCTGTGCCCCCGGCCGCGATGGCAGCGGTCAAGATCCGCTTCCCCTTGGCGCCGGTCCACTCCCCGGGGTCCTTGCGGACGCGGAATGCCTCGATGGCTCCGGCGGTCAGAGCGGCCCGCATCGCCTGTGCGATGCGTTGCTCGCTTTTCTCGCGCCGATGGCGACTCCGCGAGCGAGTCGGAGACGGCGAGTAGGAGTAGGATTTGCGGTCGCGGGCCTGCGAGCGGCCGCGCTCCCGATGTCTCGAGCCCGACGAAGCAAGCGATCCCAACCCTAGCGCCCCCAGGGCTTGCTCGGAGATGGACTTGCGTCGGCGCGGTGGGGGCGAGCGGCTGTCGGAGGGGGACCGGGAGTATCGACCCCTATCATCTAGGTAAGGTCAGCACGTTGGGTTTACTGGGGACTTTATTCTAGCTCGTCCGGAATAAATGGTGTGAGAGAACATCTGGTGGATATACGTACGTCGATCGTCATGGCGTCTGGAGCGGCGATGTGAGTGCCGATAGTAGTCGGAGCCGTCGTCGTAAGGGTCGCGGGGGTTCACGGAGTGGGAACGGCGCACACTTTCGTGGACGGTGGACGCGCGGGTGGGTTTTCCCTGCGGGGGAATGCCGTAGCCGTACTCGTAGCCATAATCGGCGGGGGGGTAGTCGCGGTGGACGGCCTCGAAGGACTCGACACTGCCATCCCGATGATGACGCACAACATCGGTTTGATGGCGAGAGGGGGGGTAATAGTAGTCAGGGTTATAGCCAGCAGAAGGGCGAGATGAATATTGGCGCCCGTCGTAGTAGGCCATGGTCACAGAGTCACAGACTGGCGAAGCGGGGGTTGGCTGGATGTTTCGGTGGAGGGGTGTAAGATGAGCGATGGGTTAACCTAAGCCATGCAGACAATGGTGAGTTGATGGTTGACGGATGGATGGATGGATGGGATGGGATGACAGTGATGGGAGTGAGATAAGGAGGAGGACGAGATGATGATAAAAGAGATAAAAGAGAGGAATGAGAGAATGGAAGAAAAGAAGTTGGAAGGTGATGATGGGATGAAAAGGAAAGTCAGTTGGCATTGGTAGTTAGTCTACGAGTTTCAGGCCAATTCAGGCACTGACGGGCACTTACAGGCACTTACAGGCACTTCATTGGATCTTCCGATCTGGCAGTGGCGACCGGCACGGCTGGCTGGCTGGCTGGCTGGCTGGCTGGCATTCAATTCACCAAAAGAATCCTCCCTCTCCCTCAGTGACGTCGTAGTCCAGTCTACCCAGTCTACCCCTCAGTGACTTGTGCAAAGGCTAGAACATCCACCACTCACTCAGGTACCATCCAGGTACCCTGTTGCTTTCTCCCTCTTCTTGATGAGTCTCCCACGGCCATTGTTTGTTTCTACCCATCTCGGCCGGAGGAGGGACCATCAAAACAGCACGAGTAACTGTCCCTCAGTCAGTCAGTCGGGCAACCCTTCCTCCACTATTGTGAAACAAATCCCCTCGGTGGGGGATGGGGCTCGGCTATTGGTGAGGCGAGAGCATACCATTATTCCCCATGATGAAAGGCGTGTCACCATCCCATTCAGCCGAGTTCTTCTTGTCCTTCGGCTCAGACGCTCTCAGTGAGCAAAAGCATCCCAGCTAAACTGACATCATCGTCGTCGGCCTGAGTCATTCAAAGTCTACCCAAACTACTACTACTACTACTACTACTACTACTACTACCACCATCATCCTGGTCAAGAATGAGGTCGATGGACAGGCATCCACGTAGGACCAACCTATAGCCGTAAAGAAGTATAGAAAGTATAGAAAAGTTAGGGATGAAGTAGAGATAGAGAAGTGGTCCCTTCCCGGTGGCTGTTCCAGACTTGCACTCTTTGTGTTCGTCCCCGCGGCTTTTCCGTCCCCGCCCGTTCCGTGGTTCAAATCCCCTTACTGAGGATTGCATACGGCAGACACCCATACAACATAACTGACTACACACTACGTGAATTAAATAGGTAGGCACTAGAAGAGAACATCTAATTCAGGTATATGGATCAAGCCCAGTGACCATATCATTGTAGATCTTCAGGCGGATATCATCGCATTCGGAAACTCCATCTTGACAGACGGTCATGCAGTAGTGACCCCGTCAATTCCTCGTAGCCCGCACACATAGGCACAAAACTTATTTGTACAGTACAAAACACATCTTTTGTGGTGGATCCCTTCCCCCGGGTAGAAACTCCAGATAAGCAAGAAACAAATCAAAGACAGATGAGGTATTCATGGCAGACAGGAAAACAGCTAACACGCTTGAGAACACCCATGCAACCCAACCAAAGAATGGGTCGCATATGCAAAGTGAGTAATCACAAATGGAAACATGGACAAGAAGACAAATTGAAGAAGTGAAATCAAGGCAGGAAATGCATGGAGAGAAAATGGAAGGGGAAACAAATACACGCGGCTCTCCGTGCCGTCTATACACAATAGAAGAGATGAACAGAAGAAGAACGAGGGGATCAAGCCCCAAGCTGTCCAAAGAAATGGAACAAAGTCTATCCTGCAATCGAGAATTCGTCCAGTTCGGACGATGCACAAAATGGGAAACTCCCATACTGAAGGCGTATGCTCCAGGGGACCGCACAGCGGTCACCCTCAGCGCCGGTCAATCACTCATATCGAGCTCGATTGACCATGGATGAGGGAAATGGTCGGAAAGAAGGAGAATGAGAAGAAGAAGGAGAGAGAGAATAAGGTAAAAAAAAAACCAGAAAAAAGGCTCAGTTCTCTCATCATACTCGTGGTGGCATGGCATCGTAAGAGGATTTCTCCCGCTGGGCCTGGCTGGTCGACCGCTGGTGGGCGTAGGTGGAAGAAGCGGTGCTTCTCCGGGTCGACCAGCTGCTGCTCCCATCGCTGTCCCGGTCGGTGGCCATCCCCGTGGGCATCTCTTCGGAGTGAGTCCGGTGCGTCCGGATATGCTGCTTCATGTTGTCCTTGCGGGTGAACGCCTTGTTGCAGATCGGGCAATGGACGCTTTTCTCCCCGGTGTGCTTCTTGCCGTGGCGGGCGGCATGGCCCGAGGTGGTAAAGGTTGCGGTGCAGCCATGGCTGGCAGCAAAAGGGCAAGGGTACTTGTTCTTCCGAACCCCCGATTTTGCAGCCATGCTTTCTTTGGTCGTGCTTCCAATCGAAGGCTGCGGGGACGGAGGCTCGACCACCGAGCTCCCACTGATCCGCTTCTCTGCCATGGGCCGGTAGCCATGAGGTTCTTGCCGACTAAGGTGGTAATGCGATCGAACGCTGGCGCCGCTGCTCATGTAGTCGTAGGAACAGTCGGAGGAGCCGGGAGACGTGGGCTGCGTGGGTTCAGACACGGGTTCGTAAGGATGGCGCGCCAAAGCGGGGGATACTGATGGGGAGTTAGTGTAGGCATGGTGGTGGTGGTGGTTGTGGTGATGGTGGTAGCGGAAATCAGGGGTTAATGTCCTTGTCGTCGTCGTCGTCGTCGTCGTTGGTTGAGGCTCATAGTGGTAAGAGGAATATGAAGAGCTGGAGTTTTGTCGAGAGATCCCCGGGGCAGACCGCACAGTAAAGGCCGGGTTGTCGTCGTTGTTCAAGATCGACACAAAGCTTGCTTGACAACTAGCCATCTTGTCCACAAGATGCAATCGATCTGTTCGAGTCATGATTAGTTCCGAGTTCAGTCCCTCTGTCCTCTGTCATCAATCGCTTTGTCGTTCTTATCTAAGCTATCTATCTGTGCTTCGGAGTTCCGGCCCCGTCGACCATGTATCTCCGCGAATGGTTCAACAGACCAACAACCCTCTGCAAAGGGAACCAAAAAAAAAAAAAAAAACTCAAGGAACGAAAAACATACGAAGAAAGCATGGTCAGGGAACTAACAGATCCAAAGTACATACCCAGTTAGTAAGGAGAATGTTTGCCTTGTCGGAATCAGTTCGTGTAACGAGGACCCCCCTCGATCTGTAGGAAAGACCCCTGGAGAGCGCTGAGTTGAGAGAAGCAATGCACCCAGTTAGCTCTCGTTGCTGGGTCTTCCGTCTTTGGTCGGATAGGAGAAATTTCGCTGTAAGCGATAATTCCCCACGGATGTGACTGAGACAACGAGACAATCACCCGATGTCGATCACTTCGAGGGCTGTCGATGCGCGGGGTCCACCGGCTGCTGGAAGAGTAGGGCAAATAAAACAGTAATTGCAATTCAGCCCAGTCGGTTTGGCAGGGCTCGGAGATAATCCCAACAAGCACGGAGAATGACGGAATGACAGTCGAGACAGACACACACGCACGCACACACAAACAAATTGCACGGCGATCAAGGCGGTTGATGTTCTGTCTGTGAGTTGACCGTAGTTGTTGTATGTAGATACAGGAGGCGATAAGAGCGGATAGAGGAGGATCGGCCGAAAGTGGGAAAGCTGCAGAGCAATGAAGGATAGACAAGGCCTGAGGTGTCGCAGGAAGAGAGAAAGAGGGAGACGAGTAGGATTCGGAAGGAAGGTAGTATGGGAGCTGAGGTTTAGTGTGAGTCGGTGATATCAAAATTGGAAATTAGGGAAAGGATGTCGAATGAGACGGGCAGACCAAGAATATTAAAAGGCGAGAGAGCGAGAAGGGGTGAGAGGGTAAGTGGAGGGTGGGCACAAGAGGTGACGAACGGTCGAACCAGCGACTTTTCGTCTTTTCGTCGCAGTAAAAGAAGCATCTTGAAACCCGTCCAGGGTCTCTCCAGAAGCTCTGGCCATGTCCAAAGTCCGTCAGTTGAGTTAACTCACTAGTGGACTAGTTCATAGTAGGTGGGAAATGGATTTAATGGGTAATGGATTCATGGATAATGTCCACGACGCTAGTTCGTCGGGGTGGAGTACAAAATAGGCATCATCATTTATGGTAGCTGTTATGGGAAGAAAAAAAAAGATAAAATCGAAACCAAGAATTACAGAAAAAAAAGACAGAAAAAAAAGACGGCAAGGGAAAAAAAAAAAAAACAAAAAGAATTCTCGGTTGGTTCGTTGGGTGAGCCAGAGAGCCAGACAAGAAGAGAAACGGACTCTTGGGAAGACCCTAACTGGAGAACAGCCACAGGGTCTATGCCAATAGCGTCCTCCCGCTTCTTGAGCCGACCAGATTAGATGGGGTTTAATTTCCCATTTGTCTCTCCTTGTCCTTTAGTACCTAGTACTCATAAATCATGCCTTCGTGGTCCGTACTCAGTAGTTACGAGCACAAAAGAATAATCAGGTCTCAGCCCGGATATGCAAGTTTCCATTCATCCATGAATCTCATACCTTTCCTTCAGGTTTCCTCTGCTCTTTGCCCCTCCGATAACGCCGAAGTGCATAACCATTTCGGCATTAGTTCCACCCGCTAGTTATCCGCACAACCAACCCCTTAGTCAGTCAGTCAGTCAGACGGTAGTTAAACTTCCAACAAAACCCCAAGAAAAAAAGGTTTCAATCCAATCTTCTCAACAGCCACGCGGATTGAACCAGTCGAAGTGGGTGTGAGGTGTGGCTCGGCTCCTGTCATCGTAATGATACTGGTAATAATAGTAAGAAGTAAAACATTGGGAACGGGGCTTGTTTTTCCCCCGTTTCTGCATTGGGATCTTGTAACGACTAAGGAAGACTACTCAAGCTTAGCTCCGAGGTGACCTCGTCATCCAGAGGGGGAGTCCGTCAGCTAAAAAAGGGCCGATGGCCCCCTTTCAGGGCCCAATAGCCCCTCTTCTTCCCACCGAGGCTTGGATCTAAACTACCTAGATCCCTGGCTGGTACGTGTCCCTGTCGTCAGCTAAATGGGCGGGAGGAGAGAAGGAGAGAAAGCAGTGGTATCTAACTGGTGAGCGCATTGTTCCCGTACTGTCTCAGCCATCGTGTCAGTCGATTGTACCGATTGTACCGATTGTACAGTGTTGTCCAGTACAGATGTAGTGCAGGATACCAAAAGGAAGACGGCTGTATGTCTATCGATGATATGTGAGTGTGTGTGGAACTCAATTGCTGAGCTAAAGACGACAATCAGACGCAAGAATGAATACCTAACGAATGGATGTCTCGGCCGCTGTTGTCAGTTCAGGTTATCGGCACTAAGACCAACCAGATGCAAGCATAAACTTTCCAGGGTTCGCGAGTACTGCATGGTATTGATTGGTATTTGGTATCGATCGTCTTCCGAGTGGCAACCACAACCACTCCTGCTGCTTCTCCTGCTGCTTGTCAAGATCAATCCCGATGATTAAGCAGCCAGCCGGTGGTCAACCCGTTGCCTTGCTGTCCTTCCCTGTTGCCCTAGCCTGCCACCCTCAACGAGCACTTTCTCTCCGAGAATGAGGTATGGGGTGTCTAGATTAAGAGTCAGCGTGTTTACACAATTATTGAGAATCCGCGCAAACAGCCCACACAGTGCCCTGCTCATGTTTCTAACCGGGAGCAAATGCCGTAGATCGTTGCCTGCCGTGGCCAGATGTCAATTGCTCCGTCCTCCGTCCTTCTCCTGCTCCTCCTCACCCCCTGGTCACCATCCCCAGAAGGAGGCTTACGGACAAGCTTTTAGCCACGCTGTACTGGAATCTGATGGGACGAAATGAGTGGGTTTGAACTGGGCATCTGACGCTAGTCACGATACTTAGCATCACGTCCAGTGCCTTGATTGGTGACGATGGGGCAGGTCAATCTGGATCAAACCCTCAAACTGTTCTTTCCCACCCCCGAGTACTCCGGAGAGAGGGAAAGAGAAAAAATTTAGCAAGCGCTTACGACACATCCTGATACTTTTTTTTCTCTCCGAGAGCACACGGTGTCAAAGTACCAGAGATCTGAGCTGATTTTCTTCACCTCCGGGATCGTCTCAAATGTCCCTTTGTGGTACTCTTCTCCGATCCCCGATCGGAGGTCGGAGGTTAAATCTTGCGATGAAACTCTCGGACGAGTGAACTCTATGGGAGGGTGTTTGAAACTCGGTTAACTGTCCGCATGATGTGGAGAGAGAGAGGAAGAGGGAGACTGAGAACTTCGAAAGAGAGGTTCAATCTGTTCGGTTCTCTGGTTCTCGAAGAACGGGGTTAATCAGTACGCGTATCAACAGATAGCGCAGACAACCTTAGCCCCATCCGTATCTTAAATTTCCCTTTCCCTTCCATCTTTCGCAAGCTCCAAAGAACCTTGAAATTATCCCGACATTCTGGAAAAGCGCCCCACCCAGAACCGGAAATAGCTTCGATTCCAATAGTAGCGGCGGCGAGGCACACAGTTCCGGTCGGGACTTTTTCTTTCTGTCTATTAATAATAACCCCAGGGGAAAAGTCATCGCTTACTGTGCGCTTTTGTGATCATGACAAAAACGACAATGGTTTCTTGACCCCCTCCCCGGCTTGCTGACTCCTGCTGGTGAGCAGATGACAGCGCCCAACGGCTGCAAAGCATGCATATATCCCTCTCATATCATCTGACTGTTGTGTCTCAATCAACATCCCTAAATGCATTCACTATGGGCAAATGACTTCATCATGACAAGTAATGTCTTTCCATCTCGGGTGCCGGATTGCCTGATCGTCCTTGTCAGTCGAGAAGGGAAATCGTGTACTGTACAGTAACCACAGTAGGCACCAAGCAACCCACGAACAATCCAGGGCCCCCCCCTCCCTCTTTCAAATCTCCCTCACATGTCCAAATCTCCATCGAAGTGTTCCATAACGCTAAAAATGCTAAACCGAGCTTGGCTTCCTGGCTAAACACGAACTTTGGTCAATCATGGTTAATCCATGCATACGTGTACTCTGGCTAAACGTCGCCGGAGCCCCATCTGGCCGGGGCTCCGACGCGCCATGCGCTGGCCCCCCCTCCCCCCCCCCTTCTTCCTCAATCACAATTAGCTGCTGCATCACTTTGAGAGGGTGTCTGTTTCCTTGTATTCGCCAGGTAGACTAGTAGATGTAGATAACATCTCAAGGGAATATCAGCTAGGGTAGCTGGATGCGCACCACCCAATAGCCCATCTATGTTATATACCATACACGCTCCTCGTGCTCATTCCAAGCTGGCAGACATGCTTGCTCCCCTTGGACCCTGAATCCCAACCAGCAGTGCACTGGTGGTGGTGATTGATCGTCTCAGCCCTCGCTTGCGTCTTCCATCTGTACGAACTACTACGTAGTTCATCTCCAGAAGCAAAACTAAGGAACTGTGGAAACCTCTCTCGGTTCTTGATCCATCAGACGCGTCAGAGGATCGGATATAACGTCAGGAAAGAGTAGTCCGCCCCTCTCTCCTGCCCTTCGCTAACTCCCCCCCCGAGCCCCGACTAATCTCCTCGCCAGGGCCCTGGAGAACCACCATTGGCCAGATCCAAGGAGATTCAAGAATGTTGATGCCTAGGGACTCGAATCGTTGACAATAATTGACATTTGTGCTGTGCAAATCGGGGAGACAGGTGACGCAAAACGGCCACCCTCACGGGTTTAATGAACATCCGCTGGTGGGTACAGTGAGCACAGTGCATGTACAGTACACACATGTACGAGTTATTGTACTCCGTAAAAGCTTGACACTTCTGTCTTCCGAGATACGCTTTTCCAATCTTTATCCGGGGCAAAACTTCGGAGTAGGTCAATGTGTGGTACTGTACGGAGGACCCAGTGACCATCCATGATTCCGGTGAATTGAAGATCTTAGTCATCGGAAGCATGTCATAGCCAACTTGGATGGCATGGGCATGGGCATGGATCTCAAAACGAGGGGGAGAAGAAGAGCCCCCCGGGGGACCACACAGCTTCCAATCTACCTAATCTGCAGGGCCGCGCAGCTTCTGACAGCAGCGGCTAGATTTCGAGGGATTGGACCCGGGAAGCAGAAAACTAACTGCGATGCCAAGCATGTCGAGGGAAAAGGCCGTTCAATCAGTAACTGTGTTGGTGTTCCTTTTTGGTTTGCGATCTGACGCAGCCGCGTATGCGTACTGTTAGTCTAAGCGCCCGTCGGGCTGGGAGTATACCGATGAGTAATTTTCTACCTCTGAACCTGACCCTGATCCTGACCCTGAGTTTTGCCGATGATGTCTCGAGAGTGAGACATGGATAGGGCGAAGGTGCTTGGGGGGGTTATTTCGAGACTGGGTGCTGGAACTGCTTACTACAAGGTATACAGTCATCTCTTTGCTTCATGACCCTTTGATCGCAGCAACAGCCATCGAGCATTCACAATGAAAGGCTAACAGTAATGATAAGGTCCGACCTTATGACCTCCATCCCGCAGGCTGAGGTGGCGTGGCTGAGCTAGCGCAGGGTATACGAGTCCCTACAGCACCAAGACTTGTGGCAGACACTATCTACGTACACAATCTACTCGAGTGGCACTTGTCTATAGATTGTGGAAGAAAAGAAGATCTAGGGTCAGGTTGTCCCCCTTCCCTCATCTGGAACTATAACAATCAAAGAACCAAACCCACCATGTACCCATCAATCGCTTACAGCAAATAGCCGGGCAAAATCCAGACAAAACCCTCCATCATCGGCACTTAGTCATGCGCCCGCTGCCGAGCCAACCGAGGCGCTGTAGATCAGCCTGTTTTTGTTTTTGTTTTTTTGTTTTTTTTTTCGGTACTGTTTCTCAACGAACAATTGACGCCGGTGATAATCTGGATGACATCCTCTAGTACCTGAGACTAATGCCCAGCCAATGTCCCAAGAAAAGGAAAAGAAAGCAAATTTCTCCCGCTTCGGGAACTCACATGATTAAATGATGATGAGATGATCCTCGTGGAACAAGAAGGGAAGCGGAAGAAGATCTGCCAGAATGTCTTGGCAGCAGACAAAACGCCGGATTGACTAAGCGGCAAGTGAGTAAGCTTGGTACCCGTAAGGCGAAAACCCTTCCCGGTCAAGGGTTTTGGTTCCCATGGACCAGAAATCTGCTTAAGATGGAGATACGCAGCATGAAAAAACAACGGTCCAGAGCAGATCTTCACGAGATTCTTCTGAAGACAGATGTCGCTCCAACCACTCCCTTAACTTTCTTCACCTTAACCACTTTAGGACTCAATCATTTTTCTCCATTTCGGTGATCGCAGCAAACGGTGGTGCACCCTGTTCCTGATCTAGACTGAGACGATCTGTAAGCGAGACCGCCAAGCCCGGTTTCGATTCCGGGTACGTACGTACTGTACGTATGTGCATAATCAGACACAACTACGGAGTACTCAGTAAAAGTGACGACGACGACCCTGATTGACCCTTCCGTAGTAGTTCTCTATTCCTGGCAATTCCCGCCCACTAGTTGAAACAACCGCTGACTCAACAGCAGAGAACTGGTTACTTTGATAGTACTCGTTGTCATAACTAGATGAAGCTCATCCAGATACATCGCCTCCCGTATCTACATATATACTGTACCGGAGCACGTACGACGCAAAATCCCATCTTTGGTCCCTGGATCCGCGACCGCGACCCAGACCCATAGATTCCCAGGTCCCGAGCCCCTGGACAGCCAACCCGGCACGGAACTTTGCGTATAATATTTTACCCGGAAGGCGTGCGCGACCCAACTGTCAACGCCTGGCTGGCTCTGCAGTAAACTTTTCCTGCCTATTCAACTTGCTTAGAGTATACTGGCAGACAGACTCGGAACGAGGATCCAATCCATCAGAAAATTGACTTTACAGATACACACACACACACACACACACAATCAAAAAACCTTTTCCCACCCGTCGGCCAGCCGACGAATCATCTTCCTCACAATCCGATTTACCCCAAAAGTAAACAATAATAAACACTGGAACCAAGAAAACAAAAACAGTGGGACAAGTGCCGAGAAAAAAAAAGTTCAGAGACAGACACCCAAAAAGAAGCAGGCGGCAGGCCAGAGAGACAAAAGCCCTATGGACCCTTAATCCTCAACTTCGAATTCTGCTACGGTGCTACCCCGAACTAGCACGGAGCCAAGCCTCTGGAGATTAAAGCCCACTGAACTAACGACGCGCTCGGAGGGGACCAGGGGCGATGTGTGTCTCTAGTGTACGAAACGGTAAGTCATGATACGCGGTTGTTTTGTTTGTTTTTTTTTTTTTTTTTCTGTCTTGGTCGTGTCTTGGCTCGGGTCTAGCTCTTCCCTTTCCCTTCTGTCGGGAATTCCGGAGCAAGAGGGAACCGCCAACAATGTCTTTTGCATGTGGAAAACGGTGTAGGGTAACGGACAGCAATATCCGGGCTGAGACAATGATTCAGATCGAAGCGAAGCGACCAGGTGTTCATGAGACGTTATGTTCGAGTGAGATTCGAGACTGACGGAGTACAACGAAGAGACGTACTGTAGACTACTCCGTAGTCTTCTCTCATTTTGAGTCGTCTCGGAGAACATCAATCCCGTGCCCTAACAGCCACCACCAACTTAACTAACTACATGCTTGCGCCGCAACAGACGGAGAGAGGGGAAAGGGACGCGTGTGCACCCCTCGGATTTAAGGTTGGCCTGACAAGCCACGGAACTGCAGGGTTTGTTGACGACCCTTTTCTCTCGCGCTCGCTCTCTCTCCGCATGAAGACAAAACAGCCGAGACGGGATGGGAACTAGTGATCACGAGTGCGTCTCGTGGTTGATGGGTGGTGATGACTTTGAGCGGCACTAACTTGAGCAGTGCGGACGCAGTAGACAGATAGGTCAAGACTTGATGATTCGCAGATCGACGTCCATAGTAGGTGCACAATCCAAGAGGTCCAGGGGTCTAGCCAGATCAACAACCCTACTTTTTGAAGTCGTCACGGATACCGGATCGGGAAGAGGGTGCTGGACTCGCCACGAGAGCGGGATCGGATTGGACCTTACTGCGACTGGATCAATATTGGTCGTTCAAGGGCGACTCGGATGTAGATACACAGGAAGTGCATGGTTCACCACCGTGAGGGACGATACCACATCTGCCAATGTCAACATGTTGGTTGGTTGGGGTTAGTCTCGTCCCTTCATAAGCACAGAACTCTGCCATTGAACCGAAAGGAAACAAGAGTAGAAGAAATTCCTACAGGAATCATCAATCACAGGCTCAGGCCTCCTCCGACTCACTCACTACAAGGAGTCTACAATACACGTACGTACGTCCTCAGAACACTTGACTCTCCTCGGCCCTGAGATCTTCAGGGTCCGAAAAGAAAGTTTGGGAACCGTAGCTTGGTCGGATTTATTACGTAGGCCCACTTCAAACAATCCCCGAACAGAATACGAGTGCGAGCTTGCATTCCCAGCTCAGGGTCGTCGTTCTTGTGTTTTTATTTTCTTTTTCTTCCTGGGAATTAAATTTTTCCAGAATCTCGGACCCACGCATATGCTTTCCGCCAGTCATGTCCCATTGGCTTCTTTCTCCAAGTGGGTAGAATATCACTAGTGCAGGGAAAACTGGGCTTCGCTTGGCTTTTACCCTAGAGTCTGCTAGTGCTCTTTGCTGGGCTCGGAGGGAGGAGAGGGGGGCTCGGTTCGGTCTAGCATGCAGGAAATTCGGTGATTTTTGTTCGAGGGCTTGATGATTTTTCTCTCTCTCATCCAAATTGATTGTGATGTTTTTACCTGGTGGGAAAGATCGAAAGGATGTTCCGAATGATTAACATCCAAAAAGTTGGGGTAAACAAGCCCTGGTATACAGCTGATCCTTTCCAACCATGTGGCCTGATATCATTACTATCAACAACCACCACCACCACCACCGACCGACCCCCTTTACCTACCTTATCATAACACAGCAGTCAACAAAACAGAGAAGAAAAAAATCCTGAGCAGAACAAAAAGCCACTAGGGTCAACTAAAATCCACAATTCACACAGGGCTGCGTAAGCAGAGACGTCACTCAGTGGGGTCCGAGATTTGACATGCCGCGCGGTAGAAAATTAGATTCATTTCCTCCCCCCCTCTTCCTCTCCTTCTGCATGGCCGGAAGATACTGAGTAGAATAACACGCTTGGGGTTTTGCGTCTTGCCGGACACTAGTCCCGAAAATGCCTAACCTGGGTTTACTAGTGAGAGGAGGGTGGTCAGGGCGAGCGTATCTGTGGTTGGTGTATGCCCTGCCTTCGCTCTACCTAGTCTAGACTACTTGGGTGTAAACGAGAGGGGATGGACTAATATCAGCCCTCACAGGGCCCATGCTGCTTGATGGGAACATCATGTGGGTTTGACACTACTGGAGTAGGTAATGCTATCGCAAACACGAAGAGATGACTTGAATAAGGAATTAAGTCCGTTGAATCTTGTGAGTGACACACGTAAGCCAAATATAACTTATCTCAATGGAGAAGCATTTGCGAAGAGAACACAGTCCCTGGACATGGGGTAAGTTGTTATGCACGAAGAGGAATAAGCATGTTCGGCGCCGAGAACAGCAGTGCCGAGGACGACGACGACGACATCAAAGACGACGACGACGACGACGGAGCTTGTCTCTATTTCAGGGACCACGATTAGACTACTAACGAAACGCTCCTACAGCCGCAGATGATGAGATTGGTATCATATCTAGCGCCAATTTGCGTAATTCTTGTTTCCCTTGGCCTCCCTCCCCCTCAGCATTGCCGCTTTGATTCGCCATGGTGGAGGCCTGCTCTTATCTTGTTTACTTCGTTTCTCTGGGCGAACGGTATGCTGCACAATCTCTTCCTCGCGAAACCAGCCCCAGCACTCACATTCGACAGCGAATGCTTTCGGGGCATGGCAGTTTACGTGGACGCCTACGAATGAGTGGGACTCCAATTAGCGGTTCGATTATTAGGGCTGGCGGGGGGAAGATTGGATGGAAGAGAACAAGATTATTTGGCGCCGACTACGGAGGTAACTTAGCACTAAAATGGGCGGATTTATGGGGACGCAGGGCGCTCCGTCGGATCTGTCTGTCGCTTTGCGTGATGGGAGAGAGGAGAAACCGGCGGCTTCAACTTGGTATCAACTACCGCTACCGCATTGTTCATCGATATCTTTCTGCCTGGATGGAAGGACAATCTCGGGACTCCTCGATGCTCCCTTCCCCCTCGCTCCTTGTACGATATGGATACTTGTGAGGCTTGCTCAGGAGGAGACATAGGGGAGCCCCAATCTCGAAGCTAAGCTGCTCTCTGTCCGCCCCAGTGGGCTGGTTGATAACGAGGCGTGCTATCTCGGACAGCCGCCCCCCCTCAGCCGGGAAGTAAGTACGTACTGCCCTGCAGGAGGAAAGAGCCTACGTGTGCACTTGTGATGTCTCTCTGCTGTAGGGTCGACTTCTTGGGGGGCCAAGTAAAAGCAACATAAGCTTTGCTGACTCGTAACATCTGCCGCCGCCCCTCCTCTCTTACTGCAAGCAGCATATTCAGCATGTATACAGTACATTCGAAGAGGAAAAGGAAGTCACTCAGTCAGCCACCGTAGCCCAACAGCCTTCTCCTCTTCTCGAGTGCGGAGAAAAAGGGTCTCGTGCGTCTAGGACGGCGCAGCAGCGTATCGAGTCGCACTTGCGGCGCGCAAAGTAAACCTGCAGGGAAAATCATGCCTAGTCAGTGCTAGTTGCGTCGAGCACCTTACGACAGGACGATACAGACATCATCCCGCCCTCGAGGATGACGACTTGATTCCGAGATTGGGTAGATGGAAGACGCAAAAGCCCGCGCATGGCGTCGTCAGGGTAAGCAGCCACCGCGCAACAAGCCTTGTAAATCGCTCGTGGTGTTGGATTTGTCTCGTCCAGTGCAGTACACATCCACAGCGTTACATCTCACTTTCCTTTTCTAGATCGGGGGCGAGGGTAAGGTTGATTCAAGGGAGGCGGGGGGGGGAGGACACTTGGCTCGTTGTCATTGCCGTGGTATGCGTTAGCGGGGGAGCTCGATTGGAGAGAAGCTTGACTCGGCCATGATCTGGCATGGTTATCGGAAATCCAGGGTCATGCTTCGCCCTTTCGCTTCGCAGTTGATACGGTGGCGCACGGTATGGAGGGTGTGGTCTTGCAGGTTGTCTGGCAAGTCATACGCAGGTCAACTGTTTGTAACTGTTTGCTTGCTGGACCGCCCGAGCTATTCATATTCTCGCCATTTCATATCATATCATATCATATCATATCATCTCCCTCAGACTAACTCGTGCTATGCGGAGTCTGAACACGAGGACGCGACTGTACGTACCTACAAAGAACCTCTGCGATGTCTCTGTTGCAGCCACTGAGTTTACACTGATGACTGTTTCTTCTTGAAGTCCGAGACAAGAAGCACACATGGGTATGTCTAAACGGCCGTTACCACTCGATCGCGTCAGTCTTTGGATCGTCTTCAGTTTTGATTATCTCTCAACTGACACATCTCATCACTCAGAACGCATTCATTCTTTGCACTCCTGCACAATAATACGCCATGCTTCCCGAAATACCAGTTCTGTGAGGCCATTGCGCACCACACCCTAGACATGCACCGCTAGCTCAGCCATGCGGACTTAGTGCAAGCAAAGTCTCACTTGCTATCAGGCTAGGCTATTTGCAACCCTGGCATGGTTGATTCTGTTCTACCTTCCTACCCCAATCCGGTGATCACGACTTGCATGGGTCGTGGATCTCGCGACGCGTGGGAAGCCATGGAATCCAGCGCGGGGGGAAATTGGCGGGGTTGGGGTCGACCACTGTGGGGTAAGCGCGATCCCCATCATACTTTTGCATCTGGAAGTGTTGAAGCCGATCGTGAAACTGGCGGGAAGATTGTCTGATAGAATGATAGAGGGACGCATGCGGGTTCTATCGACAGGAGCGAAGCCCGCAAGCATCGCATTCCATTCCTCGAAGCATCGGACCCAGGCCGAGATGAGTCCATGACAGATTGTCAGCATCGGTCCACCATCGCCATCAGCATGGATGGAGATCCGATCGACTCGGCTGTTTTACCAACCACCGCTGTTATCGCAGATGAACACATACCGAGGCGCGTCGTGGGCAGCCGGGAGGCTGCGTTATACCAACTTGCCCTGACCAGGAATGTGGCGGGTGCGATCTAGCCCTTATCGACACACATTCCAGGAGAGGGCAGACTGCTGGCAAAGCCCTTATCACAATCGTGGCGAGTGGCGAGGATTCTTGGAAGCTGTTCTGGCATGTTGATCGCCGGCCGCTTGGAATGTGAGATCGCGATCCGCGCGTCCGCCGACTCGAGGAGTGATGGTCCACGACCCGAGCCTCGCATGCCGAGTCTCAGATCAATCTATGAAACGAGGCAGATATTCCGAGGCCCTTGTCGGGTTTCAAGTCGGTCTACGTGAGGGTAGGGGTCTCTGTACTCGGTTTGGAAGGCATCTGGATCTATAGGAGATCCTGGCGGGAGGTGTAGATACCAGCCTCTTCTCCGTTTCAAATCCGTCGGCAAGATTCCGAATAACTCGGCCCATCGCGCGCGAAATCACGACCGGCCACCCGATTGATGGTCAGGAATGTGTCCGAAAGTGCAATTTGAGCCAACCGAGTGGCATTTCCCCGCGATGCTTCCCCAGCCGTCAACATTCCAGGGGGCGGCAGACTTCTTCGTCCAGGGCTCTTCATGGCGATCCCAAAAACTATATCTACCACGACGTCGTCACTCCTTCTCCATCATCATCATCATCATCATCAGCTTCAGCTTCATCATCACAGAGTCTAATCTCTCAAGCCTCTCGCCCCATTGATCAGCTTCATTCTTAGCTCGTTCCAAACTACATCATCTCACTCAATCCACCCCAATCCCCCAATCAATCAATCACAATGGCCATCCTCGCAAAGGCATCTTCCCTGGCTTGCTTCCTCATCGCCTGCCTCTTCTTCTCCTCCGTCATCCAGGCACTTCCTGTCCCCGGCTCCAACACTCCATCCGGAGTCTCCCCCATGGCCTTGGCCGCCCGTTCACCGGTACGCTCTCCCGTCCCAAATCCCCCAAATTCCCTCACTAACATATCCACCCCAACAGCGCGAGATCCCCAACAGCGACGAAGAAAAGGGCCTACTGAACGGCCTTCTCGAAGCCATCGGTCTCCCCAGCCTCTCCAAGCTCAGTCACTGGAAAGCCACCACGGAGCCTCAACCCTCCCACACCGATGACTCGGACAAAGATTCCGATTCCGACAACGACAACGACGACGACGACGACGACGCCGCAAACACCCCAGCCGAAACAGATTCGGACTCGGACTCGGACTCCGACCCCCACGCGCACGCCCACTCCTTCATCCCGGATTACTACAAGAACTTCAAGGACAACTGGACCCCGGCCATCGACGACGGCAACAGCCTGACCCCAACCGTGGACTCCATCGGCGATGACATTGAGAACGACGAAGACCTGGACAACATCAACAACGGCCTGCTGCTCTCCCCGCCGGCGTCCACGTCCAACAACAACAACAGCAACAAGAACGAGGACCTCCCCAAGCCCACCGAGGACCCCCAGGGGTTCATCAGCTCGCTCAAGCAGCGGCTCGAGGATGTGCTGAAGGCGGCGTTCGATAGTCGGGATGAGTTGACTCTCTAGTCGGTTCCATCTTTCGCCTATGCCTTTTTTTTTTCTTCGAAGTTTGGATTCTGCGGACGGAGTTAACGTGATTTTGATATGGTTTCGTACCGGTGTTCTGGGATATGGAGTCTGGTCTGGACTGGCGCTTAAGTTTTCCTTTTCCTTTTGCAAGGGTTTCACGGGTACGGGAGTCTTGGGATTTCTTTCGGTATGGATTTCGGGAGCAACAAAATAGCGAAGGGGGGTTCTGCTTCACTTTGGGAATTGGATGGATAGTCGGGGCAAGAGGGTGGGTGGGCGGGCGGGGTGACATGTAAAATAGAACAATCGCATAGAGATATTCAGATATTCAGCCAGCGTCATAGGTAATGAGAGCAATCCAACCTTTTCAATTCTGCATTCACAGTCCGACACACAAGATTTGTACTCGGCACTTTTTCTTCTCTCTACTTGTGCTGGATGTCTGCTAGCCGTACTGTACAGTACTGCACAAGACACCATGAACAACAAGGCAGCAGCTGCCGCAATAACATCTAACATCTAGTTAGTATTGGAATTCAATCCCGCCGATATTGCCATCCATTGTAAGAACCCCCCCCCCCCCCAAAAAAAGCCCGGAACTGGTTTGTTTTCCTGCCCACAGCAACAACACCACCACCACCAAAAGCCATACTACTTCGAATACGAATCCTCATCAACAACACACCCAGACCGACGCGATCAACCCAACCCCAAATTGCCCAAGAATCAACCGACTACCTACCTGCTCGTGTACTACAAAAGTTACAAGTTACCCGCTCCCTATCAAGAAAGAGATGAGATATACTCGACCCGGGCGATGATCACTCCAAAGGCTATCAATAATCAAATCCCCATCCCCTACTGCCTCTATACTGCACGACAATCGGATCCTCCCAAAAAATATAAAAAAAAAAAAAACAGGCCACAACCAAAAAACGTCAGCGACAGGATTTGAACCTGTGCGGGCGAACCCAATAGATTTCTAGTCTATCGCCTTAACCACTCGGCCACACTGACTATTCTTGTTGAGTGGGGGGGAGGTTTTGCCGTTATACGGCAATGACTATGGTAGGATCCACTTTGGGCGGGACGGACGGTTGGAATTAGGGTTCGTTTGGCTGGACGGTTCCAACCGAGTAAGACCTAGTTACGTATCGATAATGGATGGCTGGTCGGACGCTGGGGCAATCTGGTCTATCATTGTGTTCGAGAATTACTCCATATGATTACCAGGAACTGGCTCAGTCAATATCGACTGACCGATCTACAGTAGGCACATAGTTCGTGGTGTAGATGGAGGGGAAGAATTAACTGGGCATTATTCCATTCCCGGCACGTACCCATGCCCAACATGATTCTATCCAGAACAAACCAGAAAGCAAAACAGCTCGTCCACATCAGAACACAGACAAGTTATGTGGCATATGGAGAGTAGTAGACATATACATACACACACACAGGGATAGATAGAGAGGAAGACACAACAGAACTGGGAATCAGGGATAATGCTGATGGGCGCATGAACGGTAAATATGATGGTGGGACGGAGTATAGTCAGCGACACACACAGAGAGAGAGAGAGAGGTATCGTAGAATCAACGAGGTTCGATCAATGATTGGCGCTAGATGGATGGGTCTAGTTATTAGACATAATATAGAGAGATGGGAACAACAAGCGCGGAATGAGAGTGAAAAGAGTCGACGTGAAAAAGAGATAGAAAGACGAGCGCAGCTAGCTGTACAGACCATCTATGGCGGATAGACGGGTGCGGTCATGGGAAGGAAACTTTTTTACACGGAAGGTCCCGAAAGGGGCCGGTGATGCAAAGTGGGCGGTGAATAGTGAGGGCGGAAGAGAGAGGATTGGAGCTCGGAGAGGCGAGTGTGGGTCGATGGACAAGAGATAGAGGATATGTCAAGGCATTCTCATTTGTCGCCGTGAAGATTCAACCAGCTCATATCTGAATTGACATTGGCTTTTTGGCCGCTGCCGCTGTGCCCGGGCTCCTCGTGTTCCGGCATCGGCTCCAGGCTGTCGGGGATGAGGATGCTGGATCCACGGTGGTTGTAAGCGCTGGATGGATCGAGACGGGAATCACCGTCAGAGGGCATGGCCATGGAGGGTGCCATGGAAGGCGCACGAGTGCTGGGATTATAGTAGCTGCGACTGTAGGTGCTGCTGGGCGGGCGGCCCATCCAGCTGCGTGTTTGCCAGTGCGGATCGTTCTCCAAATCGTCGCCAATGGAGGAAGCGGTCGAGATGCGGGCGGACTGACTCTCGGGGATGATCATCTGTCGACCTTCGGAGGAAATAATCGACGATGCATGTTCGGTGGTCGGACTGCCGCTGATCACCTGACCTCCGAGTGGCTTGGGTTCATCCAAGAACCCGAAGTTGAGGGGCGTCAGCTTAATTGGCCATGCGGTGCTGCTGGAGTCAGTTCGATTGCTCCTCAGCCCCGGAGCAGGAGGCTGAAGAGTTTGTGGCTGCATTCCGGCCAGGTCCGTCGCACTATTATCTTGAAAGTACCGACTCCACCCTTCATTCGTTAACCGATCGCCGGGGTTGCCCCCGGGGTGTAATTCTTTGACGGACAGCTCTTTGTCAAGGGCAGCACTAGAGTACGCACTCGGCGAGTATGTACTAGGAGAGGCGTCGGGGGACTGCACAGTCACTAGCGGACTCGGCTTCAACGGACTTGTGTTTTGCGCGTAGGGGGGGCGCGCTCCAGCAGATCGCGGTGTCTTCTCATCGCTCATTGATCCCGAGAAAATCGCTAGGGAGTCGACGGAGGCGGCAGCCAAGGGGGCGGGACTTTTTGCCATGGGGTACGCTGATTGTGCTAGGGGCTCTACTCCCCGATCCTGGAAGCTGAGTCGATCTTTGTCGCCACCCTGGGCTAGTTTGATGCTTTGTTTCTTGCGTTTGATCCAGAGAAGAATGAGGATCAGGATAACGCCTACACCCACAATCGCACCGAGTGTAGCACCCACAATGGTTCCAATGTCGCTGCTCGATGAGCCTCCGCCGGCAGCAGCGCTGGACGACGTGTTCGCGGAGCTGGCTGAGGAGCTGCTGGTCGATGCAGTGGTGGATGTCGTGTGCGTCGACGATCCGAGGATTTGCTGCTCCGACTCATTCCCATAGAACAGCTGTGTGGTGTTCACCCAGCTGTTGGCGGTCTGGTTGAAGATGGCAAGCGAACTTGTGCCGCTTCCACTGGAGATGACAACTAGTCCATCCTCACCCTGCGCTAGGGAATAATTTTGTCTCGTGGTTGAGGAGGCCAGTTTGCTGGAATACGTTGGGTAATCGCTCGAGGAATCCTCTCTCTTCTGGCTACTCGACGAAGAACTGGTCGTCAAGGCGATTGCGGGGTTGGCAGGCGTACCGCCTGGCTTGACTAGCTCTACGCTAGAGACTGTGTTTGGCGATACACTCATATCAAAAGCCTCAAGAACCTTGGTACCATTTGTTCCTTCAAAAAGGGCGGCTTGGACATCGCTGGAAAGTGAATCGGCCAGGGTAATATTAGAGTCAAACCAGCCACGGGTCGGGTTGAATAGATGGACTCCCTTCGGGGTGGTCGTGCCGCCTACCAGGACCGCTTCGCTATCGCTCCAGCGCAACAATACAGGATGGTAGGCTGGAGATGCATTCGAGGCTGAGAAGGCGTCTAATACATATGGGGACGTGGTGTACGCTGCAAAGGTATCTGACGAGGCGACGGATTGATCCGAGGTGTGGCCGCCGTAGACCAGAATGCTGGAAGAATTAGAAAGATAGACCGCCTGGTGCCGAGTTCGATTGGCCAGGTTCTCTTGGGGGATAGCCGTCCAGTTTTTGTCTTGGAAGGAGTAACGCTGTAGGCCGGAAAGGTCGGACTGAGAACCGGAACCGCCGACCACGTAGAGCGCATGCTGGTCTTCGTCTCCATCGATACCACCCGTCACACATGCCGCATTGGAGACCGGCTCTCCCATGGTCAGGTTGGTCCATGTCGCATTAAGTTCGAGAGGAATCGACACAAAGCCATTGGCGGAGTAAGCGTAAAGAGTGTTATCATAGATGACGGAGCAATGGCCCTCCAAGTCCACAGGGGGCTTCGGAGCCAGCATAGCGTGCAAACGAGCGAAAGGCGAGAAGGGAAGGAGTGTTCTTCGATGATACCAGCCGAAGAAGCTACGGGAATGGCCAGCCGTCCTAGGTCAGCACGCGGGCGTAGGGACGAGGACGGAGATTGATCTTGGGGGTGGAAAGGACTGCCGGAGCACTATCGCATGGTCGAGGAGAATCGCGGATGGTCGTCTCGGACGAACTGGGTGACAAGGCGCAAACGGTAGCGACAGCTATGGTGCGTCGAGGGTGGGTGAGTGACGTTTGTCGAGAGAAGGATACGCGCGCAGACGGGACTGGGGAAATTGAGGGTATGGCGAGAAGGCGGGAAGGCACAAAGGCACAAACGAATGGCGACCTAGTTGCGCGAGTGTTAATTGAGCGAGGGGCGATGTCAATTTTCAGGGGCGAAAAGGATAGCCGTGGTGCACGATATCAAATCGGCAGTAGAAGGAAGGTGAAGGGAACGAAAGCAACGAGGGGTCGAGGAGGGAAGAATGCGATACGAACGACGAAAGAACGAGAGGGAAGAGGTCAGGAAGCCAGAAGGAGGAGGAGCAAAGGACGGAGGGGAGGGGAGGGGAGGGGAGGGAAAGGAACAGCCAAGATCAGGAGAGGGAGAGAAGGGGAGAGAGTGAGAGTGTAAGGTAGTGGTGGTAGTGGTAGAGGTAGAGGTAGTAGTGTCTGGGCGAACAGTGGAGGATGAAACGCCGGCGGGCAAGCTTAGACCAATACTAGCCCGCGTGTAGAGCAACTTACAGTGGAGCTGGAGCATTCAGAGTTTGGATTTCGAGGTCGCGGTCGGAGAATCCAACGATTGTGATATCGATAGATTAGAATAAAAGAAGTGAGCGCCAGCACGAGTGCCCAGCACGTTGTGGTCGGGGGGGTCCGCGTGTGGGAGGGAGTGACGAGAACGAGGAGTAAACAGTCCCTGTCAGGGCGGAGAGAGCAGCCCAGTGGACTAGTAGCCCAAGGAGGAAAGGAAGGAGAGAGAGAGAGAGAGAGAGAGAGAGAGCACGAGGAAAAGGAGGGCCAAAAGGAAGAGAGGAAGAATGAAACCGAAATACTACTAGCCCATAATTATGTCCTGGAGTATCTGCCTGACGAGATGAAGACTTGTTTGTTGATTGATTGATTGATTGATTGATTGATTGATGGAGTGATTCAGTTGGAGGAAGGAGGTTGGGATCCAAAAGGAGGAGGAAAGACCCTTGAGTCCCACGGTTCCCTTTCCTGCTTCTCCTCTCCTTTGGTTCCTGCATAAGAACTGCTGCAAGGACACCGACCTGGTTAACAATTGCTACAGGAACTCTACGGACGCTTTTACTGGGTGGATGGCCCCCAAGATGCCGACAGTAGTTACAACAGTATTTCAGGGGAGTTGGAGGATTGGACGGTGTTTCGCCCAGTGGTGAGTGAGCCGGACGATCGCATTGGCCCCAAAGATGAGGAGCAGGGCTACAACACTCAACCCTGAATGAATCAACCCAAGGGTAGGAAGATAGCTAAATAGCTATAACTTATGTCTTGAGTCCTGAGTCCTGAGTCTTGAGTCAGACAGATGAACATCAGTGAGACTGCGTAACCTCAGGTGATGTTTTTCTCTTTTCTTTCTTTTCTGTAAAGAAAGTGGGGGCAGGGCAGGCTAGTCAGGAACCGGTGCTGCACGAACAGGGATGACGCAGATTAATCTCCATCCCTATTGATTATTTCTTTATTGATTGTCTCTGATTATTCTATTAACTGATTCCATCTTACTCACTCTTTCTGTCGCTTTCGCATCCAATATCCATGGACAATCAGCCACCAACCACACCAACAGACACACTTACCTGAATCATGTCGTCTCACCTCAATCACAAAAAACCCATATCATCAAGTCTGACCGGGCCAGAGCCTCGGCTTATCCATCCATCTATTTATAGACGACTCTCGAACACCAGCAGCAGCAGGACCAGCAAGCAGCAGCAAGCAGCAACGTCCCATCCAGAGACTCGGTCTCCCGACCGTTTCAACCCAGACGGGACCCACTCACTCACTGCCGCCCGCAGGGTGCCTGCTTGCTCTGTTTTTTTTTTTTTTCTTTTTCTTTTCTCCTTCTCCCTCCCCCTCCCTTCCCCCTCTCCAGTCTCCAGTC